GACAAGATCACACAGTTAGCAAACAAAAGCCAAAAGCAGAGTAGATCACAAGATTGTGTGTGTGTTTTATGTGTCTCTCTGTCTCTCTCCGTGTCCATATGTATATATATCAAGCAAAATTTTAAAAACTCCCTCTCCATATATATATATATATATGGATATTTATGGATATATATGGATATATATATATGGATATATATATATATATGGATATATATAGATAGATAGATATATAGATATATACATGGTATTTTGGTATTTTCTTCACCCATTCATCCATTATTCATGGACACCAATGTTGATTCTGTATCTTTAATTTTTTTTAGTTGTAGTTGGACACAATACCTTTATTTTTTTTAATTTTTATATGGTGCTATATAAAACCCAGCGCCTCACACATGCTAGGTGAGCACTCTACTGCTGAGCTACAACCCCAGCCCTGATTCTGTATTTTGATTTTTGTATATCCTGGATATTAATCCCTTGATGGATGATGGTTTGCAAATATTTTCTGCTGTTCTGCCTGCTGTCTGTCCACTCTGTTGGATGTTCCCTTTGCTGTGCTGGAACCTTCATATATTTCAAAGTAGGCATCCAAAATTTTTCATTATCAATTAAAATTGTTTCAAGGATGTAGTTCCTGGCATGTTAAAAATATTCATGTTTTAAGATAAGAAAAATTGCTTTTCTGAAAGTCCAGGGGGTTTAAAATACCACAGCATCTTGGTACCTACCACCACCCATTTAAAATAATCACTTATGAATTGGGACACATTCCTTTTTTTTTTTTTTTTTTTGTGGTGCTGGGGATTGAACCCAGGGCCTTGTGCATGCAAGCAAGCACCCAACCAACTGAGCTATATTCCCAGCCCGGAACACATCCCTTTCTTTCATCAATTTTTCTTCTTGAACTCTTATTACCATTTCACTTTTTTTTAGAGTTTTTAATATATATATTTTTTAGCTTTCGGCGGACACAACGTTTTTGTTTGTATGTGGTGGTGAGGATGAACCCGGGCCGCACGCATGCCAGACAAGCGCGCTATGAGCCACATCCCCAGCCCACCATTTCACTTCTTGACAATTGTTTTTTTTTTTTTTTTTTTTTGAGGGGGGTGGTACCCAACCACTCTGAGCCACATCCCCAGACCTATTTTTTATTTTTTTTTAAGAGACAAGGTCTCAGCGAGTTGCTGAGCACTTTGCTTTTGTGAGGCTTGTTTTGTACTCAAGATCCTCCTGCCTCAGCACCAGGGTGCCCGGCTTGGCCAGGCTGTCTGTTTTTTTGTTTTTGTTTTTTTTAAGGGAGGGAGGGGGGGAGAGGGAGGGAGAGAGAGAGAAAGAGAATTTTTTTAATATTTATTTTTTAGTTTTCGGCGGACACAACATCTTTATTTGTATGTGGTGCTGAGGATGAACCCAGCGCAGCGTAAATGCCAGGCAAGCAAGCCACCACTTGAGCCACATCCCCAGCCCCAGGCCGTCTGTTTTTATACTTGAAAGTTTTTTGTTTTGTGCTGGGGATTGAACCAATGGCCTTGCACATGCTAAGTGGGGATTCTAAGCCATATCCTAGCCCCTAGCCCTGTAGTTTTTATACTGACCAATCATATCTCTCTGTATATACATATATATTGAGAAGCAAACTCTTTGTTATGATTGTAGGACTCCAGTTAAAAATTTTTGTGTTATCATTATAATAATCCGCAGGGCCCAGTGGTCTACCCCTGTAATACTAGAGGCTCATGAGGTTGAGGCAGGAGGATCCTGAGTTCAAGGTCAGCCTCGGCAATTTAGTGAGGCCCTAAACAACTCAATGAGACCCTGTCTCTAAATATATAAAAGGGCTGGAGATGTGGCTCCTTGGTTAAACGGCCCTGGATTCAATCCCGGGTTAAAAAAAATATATATTAAATAGCGTAAAAATATGCAAATTTTTATATTAAAGCGAAATTTTAATAAATTAGAAGAGGTAGTGTTCACAGAGCTTTGATGAAAGAAATAGGCTACATGCTTCTATATTTAACAGGTAAGATTGCCCCAGAGGATTTCATAGTTGAGAACTACCTCTCTCTCTCTCTCTCTTTTTTTTTTCCTCTTTTTAAGAGGAAGAAGGTCCATCATGAAAAGGAAGGGGAAAGGGGGAATCTAATGTCCGTGTCTATTTAGGAAGACCAGTTTCAGGAAAATCGAGAATCTGAAAATTAAATTCTTTATATCTCAAGTCTCAACTTTTTGGAAGGTTTTCCTGTTCCCCAATTTGAAGGCTGTAGGTTTAGACAATGTAGAGAAGCGATGTGGGATTCCTCAATTGAAGGGTGACTTTGAGGTTCTGGGAGTCCTGAGAGTGACAGGAACGTAAGGTCTGCGGTCTTGGATTTTGGCAAGGTGCCCAGCACTTGTGGAATGCGGAAGAATGAACAGGTGGGGCTCTCAGTAACTGGGACCATATTAACCTTTCTGGTTTCTTCATCTCTCACCTCTCGACCCAGCCTTGCCTCCAGGAGCCCCTTCAACCTCCCTAAATTGGGCGAGGCGGGCATCACACCCGATTTCTTCTCTCTTCGTTCTTTACTCGACTCTCAAGAAGAGGAGACGAGACCTGCGGTATTTTATGAGCCTCATTCCGTCTCCCAGCTCTCCTGGCGGCAATTTGCACGAGTTCTTCTCAAAGTCCCAGCCCCTTCATCACCCGCCCTCCGGGCTCTGGACCTCCACGACAAAGCAGGGTCTTGGTCTTCACCGCCGGCCCTTCTTGTCCTTCAGAGGAGAACCACTCGGGCCCCATCAGCTTGGTTGGTCTGTAGTTCTCTAGTGGAGCTTGAACAGCAAATCAGCAATAGCAATAATAAGCACAACCCATCTGTGTAGCGCGTTGTGCTCATTTGTATGTATGATGACTTCTCAATCAGAGACCCAGCCTCCGGCAGTGGAGGTAGCTGCTGGACAGCGGCAAGCAGCGCGCTGCCTTTGTAGTGAAGGGGCAAGCGCAGTCGATTAAGCCGTGGAAACAGGTGCCTCCGAAAAGGGAAAGCGGGGCCGGAAGGCGTGCCAACAGCCCAGCGAAAGGAAAAGATTTTATTTCCCACTTCAGACACTCCAGCCTTTTCAGGAAACGCTGCACAGCCTTAGAGTGACCAATGCTTTATCCACCCTGCACCGCCCTCTTCCCCTCCGTGGAAAGGTGGTTTAATCCTCCCTGCACGCGACTCGCGGGCGGTTGGGCCCGAGACCAGGAAGTTTCTGATTGGTCAAGTCGTAGAAGCACCGGATGAAAAGAGCTCCAAGGCTGCAGGCCCGAGTCCCCAAGAAGCCAGTGCCGTACGGCAAAATGGTGGTTCCCAGGTACTTTGGGACGCCTTGCGGGGACAAGCCCCGCCCCTTACGGGTTAAAGGGAAGAGAATCTTAGAGTATGTGGGCGGGCCTACAGCCACTTCCGTCCACTGGAAGCCTGAGTTCCGTACAATATGGCCGCGCTTGGTTGCATGTAGGCGGAAACTCTGCGACTTCCGGTCCGGAGTGGGGCCTGCGGTGGGAGGGGGAAGAAAGGCTCAGGGAACCATGCGAGGTTCCGAGATCAGCGGCGAGGGTCGCCTGGAGAGACCGTTTTTGAGGTGGGGGCCTGACCATGCGGGGAGTTAAGACAGGGGCGGGGATATAGAGGAAGAGGTATTGGGGTAACCTGGGTACTGAGTCTGAGGGGCAAGCTATAGTACCTTCCCGTTCCTGAAGGGGAGTGGGGCGGCCGGGGCCCGAACTGGGGGAGGGGGTACTTGGCGGGAAGCTCATACACCGACCCGGCCTGACTCAGTGTTGGAGTCCGAGAGGAATCTGGAGAGCCTGGAGGCGGGGTGCTCACAGTCGGTTACTAGTCACTGAGAGAATGGGGAAAATTAGGGTGGGGTGGGAGGGAGGGGACTTGTTGAAAAATCTCCACCTAAAGGTTCTTTAGAACCTGAGAGGAACCAATTAGAAGGTGAAATATGAAGATAATTAATGGAGGGGAAAGGAGAATGGGTTGTTGGGAAGGACCTCTTTCACTCAGTCTAGAAGTTGGGGTGATCATTCGGGATGGAGTGTGGGTTTGGCGTGTTTGAGGGTGAGGGGTAAACACGTGAGATGGCATTGACAGGAGGGGTGTGTTCCCTATGGAAGCGGGTTTCAGGGAAACTTGGGATGCAGTGTAGGAGGTGGTACTAGAATTGAAAGTAAGAATTGCCAACTATGAAAAAGTGGGGAAATGGAACTGAAAGACCGGAAATTGACATGAGGGTTGGAGCTGGGGGCGGGGCCTTAAGGTTTCTAGGAGGTTTGCCCTCTCACATGTGAAGTTGCTGAAGATAGGCAGTGAGGACACTTTTGGCAGAGCTAGGAGGTACTGAAACGTAAGGTGATTGGAATATGTGCGAGCTGAAGGGATGGGGCTGTCTATGCTGGAGGGGTTCTTTCTGAGGCCCCATCCCCTTCCAGCAGGAATTCCGAAATCCCCAACACTTCCTCCCTCCTGGGGATTTGATCCCCCATGGCCACCGCTAATAGCATCATTGTGCTGGATGATGATGATGAAGATGAAGCAGCTGCTCAGCCAGGGCCCTCCCACCCACTCCCCAATTCGACCTCACCCCGGCCAGAAGCCCCTGGCTCCTCTGAGCCCCACGGGGCCGGAGGAAGCAGTAGTTCGGGCGGCAAGAAATGCTACAAGTTGGAGAATGAGAAGCTGTTTGAAGAGGTGAGCTTTAGGGGAGAAGATTCTTGTGCCCTAGGGAGGGGGATGGCTGACTGGCTCTCCTGTCTTGTCTTCCTCACTAACCCCAAGTTGCCTTCTTTCTCTCAACCCTCTCCCTTGTTTCTTTCCCCTTCCCTTTTTTCCTTGAATCGTCTAGTTCCTTGAACTGTGTAAGACACAGACATCGGACCACCCTGAGGTGGTCCCATTCCTCTATAACCGGCAGCAGCGTGCCCACTCTCTGTTTTTGGCTTCTGCGGAGTTCTGCAACATCCTTTCTCGGGTCTTATCTCGGGCCCGGAACCGGCCATCTAAGCTCTATGTCTACATCAATGAGCTCTGCACTGTTCTCAAGGCCCACTCAGCCAAGAAGAAGCTGAACCTTACCCCTGCTGCCACCACTTCTAGTGAGCCATCTGGGAATAACCCTCCCACAGATTCTGCTTCAGACCCTGCAAATGCTGAAACTACTGCTTCTGAGACCCCAAGGACCCGTGGTTCTCGGAGGCAGATCCAGCGCTTAGAGCAGCTGCTGGCACTCTACGTTGCAGAGATTCGTCGACTGCAGGAGAAAGAGCTGGATCTTTCAGAGTTGGATGACCCAGACTCCACATATCTGCAGGAGGCCCGGTTGAAGCGTAAACTGATTCGCCTCTTTGGGCGTCTGTGTGAGCTGAAGGACTGTTCTTCGTTGACAGGCCGTGTCATAGAGCAGCGCATCCCCTACCGTGGTACTCGCTACCCAGAGGTTAATAGGCGCATTGAGCGGCTCATCAACAAGCCAGGGCCTGATACCTTCCCTGACTATGGAGATGTGTTGAGGGCTATAGAGAAGGCAGCTACTCGTCACAGTCTTGGCCTTCCCCGCCAGCAGCTCCAGGTCCTGGCTCAAGATGCCTTCCGAGATGTGGGCGTCAGGTTACAGGAGCGACGCCACCTTGATCTCATCTACAACTTTGGCTGTCACCTCACAGATGACTATAGGCCAGGTAGGGGGTTAGAAGGATGCTCATCAGTGATTCTTTAGTAGCGGAGGGGGCATGTCCCTAATTCCTTCCAGGGTTTGGGCTGAGTGCTCTCACTATATCTTCCCACATAGGCATTGATCCTGCACTATCGGATCCTGCATTGGCCCGGCGCCTTCGGGAAAACCGAAGCTTGGCTTTGAGCCGGCTGGATGAGGTCATTACCAAATATGCAATGATGCAAGACAAAAGTGAGGAGGGCGAGAGACAGAGGAGAAGAGCCCGGCTTCCCGGCACCTCTTCCCCCTCTGCAGAACCCCGCAAAGCCTTGGATTCTGGTGAGGTGTGGAAGGGATACACCCTTAAGAGAGACCTTATCCTCTCCCCCACAGTAACCACCAGGGATTCCAGGGTGACCAAGAGGGGGTGTGCAGAAGGAATGCAAGAACTGAACCCTCTGGGGCAAGGAATTTCTTAGGAAAACTGCTTTTTCCCTCAGGGCCCTAGTGGAATGGCATCTCCAAAGTGCCCTGCTACCTCCAAGGCTGAGACAGATGATGAAGAAGATGAGGAAACTGAAGATGAGGAGGAGGAGGAAGAGGAAGAGGAGGTCACTGATTCTGAAGAAGAGGAGGATCTAGAACAGATACCTGAAGGTCAGGGGGATGATGAAGAGGAAGAAGAGGAAGAAGAAGAGAAGGAGGAGAGAGCAGGTATGTAAGAGAAACCTCCTTCTTGTAAGTTCTACTCTTTTGGGCATCAGCCACCTGTTTAGACTCTTTTCTTTCCTCTTATTCTTAGTTTATTTTCAGTAGTATTTCCCTCTTAGTCCTCATACTACTACTCCCTTCTTTTTTTCTTTCTCAGGTAAGGATGGAGACAAGAGCTCCATGTCCCCACCACATATTTCCAATGAAAAGAAGCTGGAATCTGGCAAAGAGATCAGCAGGTCTTCAGGGGAGCAGCAAAACAAAGAACTCACACTGTCACCAGCTTCACAGTTGGAAGAACCTCTGGCTCCCTCCAGCATTCATGCAGAAAGCAGTGGAGAACATCTTGAAGAGTTGCCCCTGGAGGAAGAGAGCCCTATGTCTCAGATCTTTGAGCTAGAGATTGAAGCATTGCCCGTGGATGCTACCCCTTCCCCTGAAGGCAGCGATATTTCCTCATCCAGGAAGCAGACAGAGGATCCCCTCACCACTGTCTTGGAGAATGGGGCAGCCATGGTCACCTCCACATCCTTCAATGGAGGTGTCTCTCCCCATATTTGGGGAGGTTCCAGTCCCCCCTGCAAGAAATCTCGGAAGGAGAGGAAGCATAAAGGATCTGGACCATTAGAAAACAGGTAAAAACAACAGGAGGAAGAAGAGAAGTTGAGGAGGGATTGCCGGGGGCTTTCTTCAGAGAAATACTGGAGAACTGAGTCTGCTGGGAGAGCCTGTGCACCCTCCCTCCAGCCTTAGGTCCTCATACTCTTCATGCATTTGTTTTGTCCTCAGCTTTGTAGAAGATCAAAATGCAGTGCATGAGAAGAATGGGAAGAAAATATATACCCTGTCCAGCCCACCTTCCCCCTTGGCTTCCACAGTCCCAGTTGCCGATTCCTCCACGAGGGTGGACTCTCCCAGTCATGGCCTGGTGACCAGCTCCCTCTGTAGTCCTTCTCCAGCCCGGTTGTCCCAAATTCCCCAATTACAACCTCCCCGGCCTGGCACTTACAAGGTAAGAGGGGAGGCTGTTTTTCCCCTTACAGTTCATTCTCTTTCATTGTTTCAGTTCTGTAAATATGACACCTGCCACATCTTCCCTTTTTCCCATTCTGTTTTTTTTAATCTCCTAAGTCATTCCCTCATACTTCTCCTCCAGTACTCCAGACTTTTCTCTCACTTCCCTGCAGATGAGTGTGGCCACACAGTGTGATCCAGAGGAGATCATCGTACTCTCAGACTCTGATTAGCTGCCTCCTCCTCTCCCTGCCTCTAAAATGTTTTGGGATAGCATTTGGAGGATGGTGGGAAGCAGATGACCGAGGAAGGGATGGACTGAGCTAATCTCTTTTTGGTGGTGATTCTTTTAAACAAAGCTTAAGTTTTACACAGAAACATTAATAAAGTTCTTTTCTTATTGTATTCCTGTCTTTTCCTTGTCCTTCTGTTGTCACAGCTTGGTATCAGCTGCCCCTTGGCTCAGGTTAGCCCAGGACCCCAAGTAGTGCAAGATTTGCCCTTTTTACCCTGGCCCGCACACCTCTCTTGAGGCTTCCTAGCGCTCAGGCCTTCCTGGTGCACTCCACTAGGCACTTAAAAAAAACAAAAAGTGCTTCAGCCTCCTTAACGCGCTGTACTTTCTCACTTCAAGCTATAAGAAGGAAAAGGCCAATCGGAGGCCGACTCAAGGTTACATGGCCAATCCAGGCCCGGAGGAAGGGGGCGGGGCTTCAACGAGACTGTCAGAAGCAGGGAAGAGGGTTATTAGATCCTCCAAAGCCGCTAATGGCCACAGCTTGGGGGCGGAGCCAGGAGCGAAGACCAGGACCCGTCACCAGTGGCTTATGGAATTAAAGGGGAATGAAGGATTTGGCTAAACCAAGTCCCGGGTCTTCAACAGAAGAGGGAACCAGGTACCTTTAAGGTGTAATGCGGCGACGGTTCTTTAAAGGAGAAGTGGCTGAGTCGGCGGAGTATTGCCCAGCGGCACGGGCGGGTGCCCGCCTGTGCCTTTAAAGTCGGAGGGGCAGGAGGCGGAGCGGAGGCGGAGGGCGGAGGGAGTCGGCGCAAGATGGCGGCGGGAGGGGC